TATACATAAATTATGTAATTTGTTGTCAATAGATCTTTATCAGTTACTTACTTAGATAAGAACCAATCAGATTTTATTTGACTCATATTAAGTTTTTTTAATTTTTTTTTCAAAAGTTCATTTTATAACACAAACATTAAGTTAAGAACAGAACATGAGTCTAAGCTTGTGCTAATGAGAACATTGTTGACTTGCTTATTAATTTCTTTTATTACACATCAGAATGAACGTATTTCAAATAATACTGTATATTTACAGAAATAATATATAGAGAGGATTAAAACTTGAAGTTTATTTTGTGTTGCATATCATCCTTACATGTATGTAGGTGTATACCGTAAATCCTTGAATTAGCACCCTCCTCGAATAAGCGTCCCCTTCGAATAAGCTACCCTTTTATCGGCCAAAATTTAAAATAAGCAACCCCTCCCCTCCCCCCATTTTGTTGGCAAGTAATGAGACAACAAATGATGTATAGTTTCTGTCATTTAGTATTAAATTTGCACGTTACTTCAGTTTGTGCAAACATTAAGTCTGGAAAAAAATTACAAGTACTAACGGTGCCACAATTTAAACTTAAGGATCAGCTTTTATGCTGATAAACAGCTTATGTTGTTGTTTACGCACAGATGATGTATTTTAAGAAAATGATCATGTCAGGTCATGATTTGGGAAAAATTGAGTAAGTGCCCCCCCTCAAAAAGGGCCCCCCTGTCTTCTCCTAAATTTGAAATAAGGGCCCCGGGTGCTCATTCGAGGATTTATGGTAAGTAAGTTTATTAAATGGCCTGGAACCAATGACTGAGGAAATGGGTGCATTCTCACTACATGTACATCTAATATGACATTGTATTTTAAAGGATTAACTTTTCTTGGCTCAGAATAACAGCCTGCCATTAAAATGTAGGCGAAATATCAGAGTTTGCAGGCGAAAATAATTTTGAATGATGAAGTGGAATTCACAGTCAATGGCAGGTGATGTTTTATGGTCCTTCAATGTTTTATACTGTTATGATTACTTTTATCAATCAGGGTTTAGTCTTTGGCAGTTCCAAAAATGTTACTACTATGCCAAATGATCAAAAACTGCTCTAAGATGATTGTGTTGTTCTATTTAAAGCCCTTTCCAGTATTTCCAATTTTAGTCCAATTTAAAGTTATTTTGATGTTCTGTTACCTGGCAACAGTTACTTGGCAACAGTAATTAGCACTGACCAGTAACGTTTACGAAGATTCAGAAAAAACCTCAAAAAAGGGTTGATAATTTCCATCCCCCCTGGCATTATGATCATCAAAGATGGCAAATGATATATGCTTGTATCTATTCACAAATTCTTCCTCCAACAACACTTCCTTGAAGAGCTGAGCCATGTGACGGGCAGGGTTTCTAAATGCACCGCATCCAAGAGCTGATAAAACCAGCGCATCATGGCCATGGTACAGACCTGTAGACAGCAGGCAGCGTATCTTTCGTTTTGTATTTTCAGCCACTTGAGGGATGAGTCTTTGTTTATCTTTCGTAAGGGGGGGATGGGCATAGGCTGAGAGAGCAAGAAAAGACATAGGCACTGGTTTGGAAAGAAATGCATATCCTTCTGCCTCGGACGCTCGTATGATGAAGACATTTTTCGAGTAGACACATGCAAATTCTGGGAGTCTGTATGTCCATTTTCTTTTGGGATCAAATTCTTTGTCAGGGTTGGCTAAATGTTGGACATAATTTGTCCGACGGAACAAGTTCTCCTCTTGAGCCCCAGCTCCTGACAGGTAGCCTCCCCCTGGCAAAACAAAATGAAAGTCCTCATGATTATTTGTAATAGTCTAAGAAGACAAGATCCTTATGCTGAAAACAAAACAAAACGAAAACTGCAAGATTGTAAATAAAATTATGACAACAGATCTTTTGCACTTGGAACATAAGCTTCCTCTAATAATCCCTCCAAATGGCTCTCTGTCATAAGTCCCCAAATGGATGTTCCCACTATTTACACTATTTGTACATGTAACTTGTGACTGAGATCCAAACTATTTTAATTATTGCAGACTAATTTCACCAGTTTTAAACTTGATCACAGGATCTTGCAATTTGTTTATAGTTTGTGCTACTATAGATCATACAATGTTACATAGTTTTAATAAAATGCTTATGCAATATTTGTGACCTACATGTAGTCTATAAGCCCAAAACAAAAGATATTTCTCTCTCTCCTTCACAAAGGCTCAAAAGGAGGTCTAGAGGTTGGGAGCATCCACTGAGTGATGGGAATGCAGACCCAGGGTTAAGCCTGGTTCTCATATGCCGCCGACATACCTGGGACATAGCCGCCGGCACGGCCTGTGACACCGTTATAGCATATGTGAACGTTAATTTTATTGCCGAATCGTAATCTATCCCAGGCATTGACCGCCGGCTTGCCTGCGAAGTTGAGCTGAGTTCAACTTCGCAGGCAAGCTGGCGGTTGGCGGTGGTTGTCGGCAATGAAAATATTTTATGTGAACATCATCTGCGGATGCAACATACTCCAGTAAGACGATTGGATCCATATTTACAGGTAAAATATTTGGAAATTGCACAATTCGATTTGCATTTCGAGTAAATTTGAGTATGTCGGCGATCCATCGCAGATGAGCCAGGGATCCACTGGGACAGATCGCCAAACGTTGTCAGTTGCAACCGACGACTACGTTGCAGGTAGGTCGGTGGGATATGAGAACCAGGCTTTACCTGACCCTTTGTGCCTGCACTCACCTTGCACAGCAGATTTCTATGACAAACGTCCGAAACTCTGCTGAGGAGAGAGTGATAATGAAGAACATGTACACGTTTATTGTATTGACAGACTGTAACAGAACTTTTTCAAAGGGTTTTGTAATCCGATCTGTTTTTTCCTTCTTGAATTTTGAATCGGCGGCTTCTGTCCATCTTCATCACAGTTGCAATTTGTAGGTTTGTTATAATTGCAATGACAAACCTACAGATTGCAACTCTGATGAAGGTGGATAGAAACCACCGAAACTTCAGAAAAGGAAAACGAGATCAGATTATAAAAACCTTAGAAAATTTCTATCACGTACTGATCGCAGCACTGGAAGTTGTAAGTAAACAGAGCTACCCGTCAGGTATCACACCTACCCGGTCTCCGAGATGAAGCCATATTTAAAACAGCTGGATTAAACCCTTCATTCCTCAAGCGAATCGCTTCCTCAAGGCAATCTGCATTGACCACAACTATCTTGGTTTTAAAATCCTCACATTCCGCCGTTCTTCTCGGCGGAAGTTCTTCAATGTGAAGAGTTGTTTTTCTGGCATCTCTTGAGACACTTTCGTGATCTGTAAATGTGACCTGAGAACCGTCTTCCAGTGTGTACTTGAAGTTTTTACAGGCTTCTAGGGTTTGTTGTATGATTTCCACTCGCAGTCGGCGTTTACTATCATTTTTCGAAGATCTGAACTCTGAAAGCCAGGCCTTGGGGTTGAAAATCAGTTGATTTGACTCCGCTGAAGAAGAGCTGCAGCTGTCTTTAGCTGAAGCCATACCAATTCGGAGACAGATGTTAGTTATCGATCCAACTTCAGTATTTATAAATTTACCAACAAAATTCGCTATGTTGCCCACTGCCTGTGCAATCCATCTCATTTCTCATCACGGATCTTCCGCTGAAACGGCCAGGCGCCTTGGCTTGTGTTCAGGTCAGCGGCTATGCCTATTAGGCCCAGATTCCTGAATCACACACCTCGCACCAGCCGCCATATTGTGTGAAGATTTGGATGTTATCATGGTAGGGAATGTGTCCGGTTCTTTTATTGCACGTTTATCTTTTATTATTGGCTTAGGTCAAGCTTTGCTTACTAACATAATCTTTGATTAATCAGGGTAAAGCAAAAAAGACGCGAAAATTTGCAGCTGTCAAGCGAATGATCTCACCAAAGGACATGAGAATGTGAGCAAAGTTTTGTTCTCCTTGAAACGATTTGCCCGACTAAAACGCTTTTCTGCATAGGTACAGCTAGGTAATTGTGATTTTCTGTTCCTTTTTGATCAGAAAACAAAACCAAGAAAAGGAGAAAGAGAAAAGGAAGAAGCAGGAAGACAATGAAACCCGCCACGTGTATGTGTTCTTCATCCGTAATTTATGCTAATTTACCCCCCGAAACATGACCTAAATTGTCCCAATGTTACCATACATCAGGTTTACGTGAGTTCTCAGAATTTGGCAGTAGATCAGGATGATCAGTTGCTTGATAATGTAATGCATTTATTATTATGTTGTCATGGGAAATCGAGGTTTGGTGAAATGAACTTGTTTTGAACAAGAATCAGAAGAAAAAGGTGATTAATAGTGGCAACTGATTGGAACAATTCTGTCAAACTGATGAATTAGGTTATTTTTTGTCAATGTACATGTAAATATACCACTCTTCCATGTGTGTGTTGTGGGAACATAAGGAGGCAGCAGCATATGCCCTCATCCATGGTTTTGTCTTTCTTTGAAAGAGTTAGTGACCATATTTTTTTATCTTTTCAAGACTGCAATGTGTTAATATCTGCTAATTGTCTTCCATGCAGGGAACAATCATCATCTGCCCTGTTCTTTCAATACAACACACAGCTTGGACCTCCATATTATATTCTGGTTGACACCAATTTTATCAACTTCTCCATTAAGAATAAACTGGATATTGTCAAGTCCATGATGGATTGCTTATATGCAAAATGTAAGTAATTACATGTCCTTCCCCTAAGTACTGATCAATTATGTACCTTGAATGTTTGTGAACCTTTTTTAGTTTATGCCTCGCAGCTGAATGTCTCCTAGTCAATCATGATGATTTGCACTGGGTTATGAGTCAATGATTCCCCTGCATCACTGAATTGCAAATTATTTTTTGTACATGTATAATATTTTTACTTTTAGTTATATATTTGTAACTTTAATTTGCACTGTACCCTTGTTTTAATTTTATTATATTTTGTTTCTGTTCTGTTTTGTTGGCTGACAGTGCAGTGTACAATTTAGGTCCACCATCTTGTAATTTTTGTTATTGTTACTTTACTAGGTGTTCCCTGTATTACTGATTGTGTAATGGCAGAGTTAGAAAAACTTGGCTCTAAATACAGAGTGGCACTCAGGTAAATGGAGCTCAGATTAACATTTTTATTTGGATAATATTCAAGCAAAAGAAAGAAAAAAAATATGCTACCAGAAGATAAATACAGTCTCAAAGCTAAATGAGTATTGCTTACTGACTGGATGGAACATGCTTGACAAACTTAAAGAGCTTTTTGCCTTTGATGGATGTACCTAGCCTTCTACATTTGCCCCATTGTATATTGACATCAAAATAATATTTTGTTCTCAATACCGGTAGTATGAGAAGCTGCCAGCTTTTTTCCATTTCCACCATACTCAAACTATCGATTAGATATTAGATGCAGATGGTAGTTCATTATTCACAAAAACAGTAGAATATCAGTGTTAATATCATATTCGCCAAGGAAACTACTTTGCAACACTTCCCTTAATTTCTTCTAATTGTATGAGAACACTTCTCTTGCATGTTCAAGTGAACAACAAATGCTATAACTTTATCCTACAATAAACTGATACCTCTACTTATCAGACTACTAGTGTATCTGTAGGCTTATTGTGTAACAGTACTGTATGCATGTAGTTGCATAATCTCAAGATTGCTTGTTTACAAATTAACCACCATTGTCACTATTCTGGCTATTATGATGATTTGCACTGGGTTATGAGTCACTGGCAATGATTCCCTTGCATCACTGAATGGCTTGAAGTTGAAAATTACTTTTATGCACAGGTACATGTATTTTATCATTCCAACATTGTGTAGTTCAAGAAAATAATTATCCATACCTCCCCCATGGAAGGGATTTTTTCTAAGACCCCCCCACCCCTCTGGAAATTCCAATAAAGCTTCACACATTTCTTTTATTTTTTTGGTCTCACAGAACCCCCCACCCCCCAAGAAATTCCAATCCCTTCTGTGGGGTGGGGGGGAGTATGGATATTTTCTGGACCTGCACGCGTAATAGTATCCTCTTCCTTTTGCAAAGGAAATGCTATAACATTTTGCAGTCTTCAGTTTAATGGAAAAATGAGATATTTTTGATTGTGTGATTTTCCTGTAGGATGGCAAAGGATCCACGATTTGATCGTCTTCCCTGCATGCACCGAGGAACTTATGCTGATGACTGCATAGTGAACAGAATACAACAGGTAATATTTTTGTTTTTCTCTCCACTTAAGTCCAAGCAGGTTGTTTGAAAAGTTAATGATGATGATTTGCACTGGGTTATGAGTCAATGATTCCACTGCATCACTGAATTGCCATACATTTTTTTTTTTATTTTTTTTTATTTTCTTTTTTGATTCATAGTTTTAAATAGATAAAACTGCAGTACAATGAGTACATGTATCACTAACAAAGTGTACTCTTATGAGTGCAAGCACTGTATCATTTCCTTTTAGGCCAAGACAATAAATCTGACAAAGGCGAGGCCATTTTCAAATTTAGTGTTATTGCACATAGCATTGACTTGAAACTTTTTTTCAGTTTTTGTTTTGTTGTTGTTTTGTTGTGTTTTTTTTGGGGGGGNTGGGGTGGGGTAGGTTTAATTCAGTTTTTTTGTTTTATCTTTGTTTGTTTGTCTGTTTGGTTTCAAAAAAGAACTGTACCACAGTTTTCAAAGCTAAAGAATGAGTTCTGAATCTACGTGGAAAGTATCTGTTCATGTAGTTGTAACATGAAGGCAATGTAGTTGTCAGATGAGACTGCAGCTTAATACAGATGTTGGTCATTTACTGGCCCATATTATGTGACTGGGATCACATGAAATCCTGTTGAAGTTCTTGTTTGTGTTATTCCTTTCAGCACAAGTGTTATATTGTGGCAACATGTGACCGAGATTTGAAAAGAAGAATCCGCAAGGTTCCAGGAGTCCCTATTATGTACATTTCACAACACAAGTAAGACTACAAAGAATTCTGTTGGTTTATATATCAACAATTTGTTAATGATATCTGTTTGTTTGTTTGTTTGTTTGTTTGTTTTTTGCTTTGTTTTTGTTTTGTTTTTGTTTTAATTCCAGTTTAAATAAAAAGTTTACACATTAGCCAAGGTTAAAATAACAGTAACAGTTGTAACAGTTGGCCTACATGTATCAGCTAGGCTAGCAATTTACTCCAGTCTTCAAAAATTTAATATTAGTGTATGGCAGGTACAATATACAGTTTTAACCGTCCACATCTTTTACCTTGTTGTGAGGAGAAAGTCTAAATTGCCATTGGCAATAATGATGAATTGCACTGGGTTATGAGTGAATGATTCCACTGCAGCACTGAATTGCCAGCTCTGGAACCCCGGCAGTATGTTGTGGCTGCTTGTTGGAGCAAAAGTTCTTGTCTGGTTCATTAGGCCTTGTCTCCAATGAGAAAAGGGCCAGTATTTTCTTTGCTGTTGTAATCTGTTAGTTGTTTTTCCACTTCCCTGCTTACATTTTTTCTAGTCATATATGTAATTCGGTTTTTTTTTTCTGTTATGTAGGTACACAATTGAAAGAATGCCTGATGCGTATGGAGGTAACTATTTTTCAATTTAGTCTCTTACGGTTCCAATCAAGTGTCGATTCAGTATAGATGGTAAAATGAGCTACAATGTAAGAGCTTTTCCTTTCGCTTTTGTTGCAGCTCCAAGAGTTTAAACAGAAATACGCTCGCTGGAGACTGTTGTACTTGTTGCTGACAGCGGCCCACTGAAGGAGTCAGGATGAAGTGAATGAGCACGCTGTTATGTTGTGCATTTTTTGCGGTCTTGCACAAGGCGGAAGAGGCGCCCTGGTCTCGCAGGCACGTGGTCAAAGAACGTATAGCCAGCGTAGTTGTCGAGATTTTGCGCGTAAGCACTTCGCAGTTTACGTGAGTGGCGAAGCCGCGAGGAGAGCAAAGAGTAGTCAAGTGGAGATCCCGGCGAAAATTTTCGCTAAGGGTTTCCCAGGTGGTTAAAATTCCCTCGCGGTTCCGCCTCCGAAAGGAAGCATTAAAGTGCGAAATCCCGTCAGCAACGCTAGCCAAGAACGGAGAAAAGAGAAAACAGGGTCACTGATATTTCCGTCTGCCAGTCGGAACGAAAGAAAAGAGAAACTTGTGCATCCAACAAGTGATCAAAGCGTGCTCTAGAATGCACTGGTTTTCGTGTTACATCTGGTTCAAAGTCCTCTTTCTGGCTGGTTAGGTTGAACACATGATCATCCAAAGTTGATTCTGAAGGACATTGTAAAACATCTTGAAGGTTCAGCGTGCTGAATAATTACAAGAATTAAACCGCACGAAGTCTTTTTGTAAATTAAAAAAATCGAAAATAAAAATTTTTGATTCTAACAGTTCTACTTGCTGATTATAATGTGGATGGGTGTAAAGTTTTTCATTATCGGGAGAAAACTACAGAATAAATCGTCACGCAACTCTCTTTTCTACATACGTGATGTCAAAAAAGTTACAGAGGGTCTGTATGGGGTTTCACTCAACCTCATTCCCAGGGTTCTCTCTGTGTGGTACAGAGAGGACTCAACGAGGTTGAGGTCGCTCTTATCAATTAACTTTCGGCTATTTCCTAGTTAATTAAAAAAATTAAAATTTCCTTCCTTTCCTCATCTATCTCTGAATTTTGCAGATCATCATATCATAACTTGAAAAATGCGTCATTTCTCAACTGAAAATTAATTCCTTTTTTTTGTTGTTTATTTTTTGTTTGTTTGTTTGTTTGTTTGTTTAGTTGTTTTTGACCAGTTCACAGCTATCACTTAAATTCAGACCCTCTTTAAATTAAAACTTTCGCGAATGAGCGGTTTTCCGAGCCGGTTTCAAGAAGGCCTTTTAGACTAAGATGTCTCGTAAGTATTGCTCGAATATAAAAGCTGATAGTTAGGCAATGCTTAGGATGCCTATTAACTAGGGAGGGCTTCGTGAATCCCAGCTGCAGGTTGCATCGATGTAAAACTTAATAAAACGCAATAATTAGAAATTTGTTCCAACTTAAATAACCGACAATTGACAAAGTAAAAATCTATTATTGTATAAGCCGAATGAAACATTCGACTAAGAACTGTATTTCACAATAACTTCGAGTGCTTTTTCGTGTGTTTATAATTTGTTCCATTACGGATCACTCGTAAGACGATTTCGAAAATTTAATACTGAGATGAAGGAAGAAACCGGTCTTCCCTTAAGATATGGAGTCCAGAACGTTTTGCCGATTTTATTTGCATACGAGGGTATTATTGCCAATTTACGTTTTGAAGATTGGAAGCCGAACTTTTCATAAACTATGGCAAACAGTCAAATTATATTTGGCCAGTTCACCAAGTATTGAATCCGGGTTAATGCTCTTTCTGAGGATGTTGAATTTGTAATTAAGTTTAGCAATCTCTATATGCTTTCGTTCTCTTACTACTGTGTATTTTTTTCATCAAACAAGAAAGTAAAACCCCTCAATGCGCATTCGTAAAGAATGTTCTGTTGTCCATTCTTTGTTTAGCTGGCGCTCACGAACTTCGCAACGTCATGAAAGGAGATTTGCCGTTCCCATGGAAACCTTGATTCGCTACCGCACCTGACAGAAGTTTGGACAAGACAACTGCCTGGTTGGGAATCAAGACAAAAGAACAGCAAAATAGACTTTTATGTCATGTCGGCAGGTGGATTAAAAACAATTTCTGAGTCGCCAGTTGACAGTTTGAGAGATAGCGATCAATTCAGCATAAAGGTTAAGTCTTAATTCGAATTGAAATCGCGTATGAGGTGGAAAATTTTATCAACCCGAACTGATGAAATCTCATTTGCTTCGCTCTGTTTTCATTCAGGGAGATGCTCTAATGGAAGAAAGCGAAAACGAGGAAGCTCCAGGGACGACCGAAAGTGTCGGCGGTTTTTTTATAAAACACGGAACTTTCATGGGAACGGAAAACGAGCTTGCAGTCTCGCAAAACTCTGACGTAGCAGCAAGTGATAGCGACTACGACACCGACCTTGATACGGAAGGTAAGCTTAAATTCAAGACTTTTTTCGAGATGGTGCAAACTTTTAGTTGGGAGTTTTCATTGCAATAATGTTTTGGTTTAATTAAGGTTTAAGTCTAAACAGCCGGTGGATAAATTAAATTTTGTTTACTAGTACACGAGTGATAACTACGTTTTGCTTATGTTTGAATTTTACTTCGCATGTTCTTACTTTTTAATTAGCCTAAAACAGTTTTTGAATTTATTAAATTGCCAGCTCAGTTTATGATCGTTGAAGAGTTTTGATTTGCATAAGAGGAAATTTAGAAGTGGCCATTGTCTGTATACAAACATAAACAGCAGTCTAACCCTTGCAAAAAGCGAATGTTATGGGAAAAAACAAAAAAATACTCTCCAAAGGTAAAGCTCGGCAAAGCTAGTGAGAATAATTGTCTCTCGCACAATAAATGAATAATTCAGCCAGGACAGCCTGGAGTCGGTCACTTTGAAACTCCGCGAGCTTTTTCGTAATTAAAATTTCTACCCGGCACTGATACCTAGCAATGAGTTTCATTTAAATAAATATATAGCTGCTAGTTAACTAAATTTGTTCAAGCTTCCTTTCTTTTCGAATTTTAATACCCAAAACATACTTGATGAAACCGTTTTGAGCCCACAATCAATTAGCAGCAACAGAATGGGAATCAGTTAAAATTTAAACGACCCTTTTCAGCGAAAGAGCGAATAAAAAAATAATAAACCGGAAATGTTTTTCTTCAATTGCATGTCTTTTTCTTTAAATTCTATAGGAAAATGTGAAAAGAACTTTCAATATTGCTATCCGCACTTGCAATTATCATTCAAATTGTTGCTGCGTTGCTCTCTTCGGAAACGAAATTACAACTGGGAAAAAGAAGGAACGAGTGAAAAGGTTATTTATATCAAGTGACGACGAGTTTTCATCGGTTTTGTAAAATAATATTTTCAAGTTGATAGACGCAGCCCAACAATTTATTTAGAAACTAATAATTTTATTTATTCGTGCAATCAGTGAAGACTTTTTCGAGCCTTCCCCAAGAATGAAAGGAATCAGGAATATTTCAACTCACAGAAGGCTTGCCCATAGCAGGCTTCATTCATGTTGCCGTATAAACAGTTTACTGCTAGAGTTAATAATTTACACTGCCAGAAATCTAAAATGCTTTCCTTATAAACTTTTGACTACTACTGCTACTGGTAGTGCTAAAGCGTCCGATGGCTAAGTCGAGCTAAGCAATTTTAGGCTCGAACCTAGCGTTCTTTCGATCCGAAACCGGGACGCCCAAACTCTTTGATTGCGAGTGAGACCCGCTTGCACTTTTAATATAAGAGAAACATTTCAAATTTCACTTCTCTATCTCTACACTGGAAATAATGTCCGAGCTGAGTGTGCATTACCTAGATAAAACTCCTTAACTTTTGAATAATTATACAATGGCGGTTTTCTTAACGTGAATTTCAGAGCATTCAGAAAAGTACGATTCGACGGGAAGGAAGGTGTACCTGGCTGCCTGCAAATGCTTGGACATAACACCTGTGTCGTTCTTCTTGAAGAACATCGAAGAAAAGCATCTTGATTTCAAACACCGACTGCTGGGGCCAAAAGGAGGAAGGGCTCTTGCAGCTGCTTTGGAGGTGTGAGTTCTGACCTGAAAAAATGTCCTCACCTTTTCAAAGCAAACGTTTAAGCATTTCCTCTGTTTTGTTTGTTTGTTTGTTTTGTTTATGTGAAATAACCGGTAGCTTAAAGGCGCAGAAGAATTTACCCCCATCATTTGTGCGCGACGAATTAACAAACACCAACTTTATGATTTGGAACAAAGTTGTTTCTTATCCACAATTTCTTCCAAGACTGATTAGATTCTGGGCGGATTTTTCAAGAAGTTGGCTAAATGGACCTCTATTTACCAGTTTGGTTTGGCCTTCTTGTTGTTCGTTAATCTCTGAATCGAGGAAACTGAGCAAACTTTTGTCTTTCTCGCTCTAGTCATTCGTATGTAATTCAGGAATGGCAATAAATGACCATGAATACTTTGACTGGTGAATCATTGTTACTTTTGTCTCATGTAGCTCAACACCACATTAACCAGTTTAAACCTTCATGATAACTACTTAGAGGGAGAGGGTGGGTCGGCGATTGCAGCGATGCTGAAAGAAAACTGTTACATCACAGAACTGGTAAGTAGTCAGGCTGATATAGAAGTTTCATAGCAGTTGTTAAAGTATTCAAATACACTGCAACAGAGATTTCATTGGCCTTTTTCAGCAGAAGGTCAACTGGTTTTGACAGGCGGGCAGCACTTCTTCTTTTTTTTCGTAAGAAAAACTTCCCCAAAATGGTCAAACCAGGTGGGCAAAATCATCCCCACAGCCAGTCAATTTGCCTGGNAAGAGTAGTCAAGTGGAGATCCCGGCGAAAATTTTCGCTAAGGGTTTCCCAGGTGGTTAAAATTCCCTCGCGGTTCCGCCTCCGAAAGGAAGCATTAAAGTGCGAAATCCCGTCAGCAACGCTAGCCAAGAACGGAGAAAAGAGAAAACAGGGTCACTGATATTTCCGTCTGCCAGTCGGAACGAAAGAAAAGAGAAACTTGTGCATCCAACAAGTGATCAAAGCGTGCTCTAGAATGCACTGGTTTTCGTGTTACATCTGGTTCAAAGTCCTCTTTCTGGCTGGTTAGGTTGAACACATGATCATCCAAAGTTGATTCTGAAGGACATTGTAAAACATCTTGAAGGTTCAGCGTGCTGAATAATTACAAGAATTAAACCGCACGAAGTCTTTTTGTAAATTAAAAAAATCGAAAATAAAAATTTTTGATTCTAACAGTTCTACTTGCTGATTATAATGTGGATGGGTGTAACGTTTTTCATTATCGGGAGAAAACTACAGAATAAATCGTCACGCAACTGTCTTTTCTACATGCGTGACGTCAAAAAAGTTACAGAGGGTCTGTATGGGGTTTCACTCAACCTCATTCCCAGGGTTCTGTCTCTGTGGTACAGAGAGGACCCAACGAGGTTGAGGTCGCTCTTATCAATTAACTTTCGGCTATTTCCTAGTTAATTAAAAAAAATTTCCCTCATCTATCTCTGAATTTTGCAGATCATCACATCTCATAACTTGAAAAATGCGTCATTTCTCAACTGAAAATTTATTCCTTTTTTTTGTTGTTTATTTTTTGTTTGTTTGTTTGGTTGGTTGTTTTTGACCAGTTCACAGCTATCACTTAAATTCAGACCCTCTTTAAATTAAAACTTTCGCGAATCAGCGGCTTCCCGAGCCGGTTTCAAGAAGGCCTTTTAGACTAAGATGTCTCGTAAGTATTGTTCGGATATAAAAGCTGATTGTTAGGCAATGCTTAGGATGCCTATTAACTAGGGAGGGCTTCGTGAATCCCAGCTGCAGGTTGCATCGATGTAAAACTTAATAAAACGCAATAATTAGAAATTTGTTCCAACTTAAATAACCGACAATTGACAAAGTAAAAATCTATTATTGTATAAGCCGAATGAAACATTCGACTAAGAACTGTATTTCACAATAACTTCGAGTGCTTTTTCGTGTGTTTATAATTTGTTCCATTACGGATCACTCGTAAGACGATTTCGAAAATTTAATACTGAGATGAAGGAAGAAACCGGTCTTCCCTTAAGATATGGAGTCCAGAACGTTTTGCCGATTTTATTTGCATACGAGGGTATTATTGCCAATTTACGTTTTGAAGATTGGAAGCCGAACTTTTCATAAACTATGGCAAACAGTCAAATTATATTTGGCCAGTTCACCAAGTATTGAATCCGGGTTAATGCTCTTTCTGAGGATGTTGAATTTGTAATTAAGTTTAGCAATCTCTATATGCTTTCGTTCTCTTACTACTGTGTATTTTTTTCATCAAACAAGAAAGTAAAACCCCTCAATGCGCATTCGTAAAGAATGTTCTGTTGTCCATTCTTTGTTTAGCTGGCGCTCACGAACTTCGCAACGTCATGAAAGGAGATTTGCCGTTCCCATGGAAACCTTGATTCGCTACCGCACCTGACAGAAGTTTGGACAAGACAACTGCCTGGTTGGGAATCAAGACAAAAGAACAGCAAAATAGACTTTTATGTCATGTCGGCAGGTGGATTAAAAACAATTTCTGAGTCGCCAGTTGACAGTTTGAGAGATAGCGATCAATTCAGCATAAAGGTTAAGTCTTAATTCGAATTGAAATCGCGTATGAGGTGGAAAATTTTATCAACCCGAACTGATGAAATCTCATTTGCTTCGCTCTGTTTTCATTCAGGGAGATGCTCTAATGGAAGAAAGCGAAAACGAGGAAGCTCCAGGGACGACCGAAAGTGTCGGCGGTTTTTTTATAAAACACGGAACTTTCATGGGAACGGAAAACGAGCTTGCAGTCTCGCAAAACTCTGACGTAGCAGCAAGTGATAGCGACTACGACACCGACCTTGATACGGAAGGTAAGCTTAAATTCAAGACTTTTTTCGAGATGGTGCAAACTTTTAGTTGGGAGTTTTCATTGCAATAATGTTTTGGTTTAATTAAGGTTTAAGTCTAAACAGCCGGTGGATAAATTAAATTTTGTTTACTAGTACACGAGTGATAACTACGTTTTGCTTATGTTTGAATTTTACTTCGCATGTTCTTACTTTTTAATTAGCCTAAAACAGTTTTTGAATTTATTAAATTGCCAGCTCAGTTTATGATCGTTGAAGAGTTTTGATTTGCATAAGAGGAAATTTAGAAGTGGCCATTGTCTGTATACAAACATAAACAGCAGTCTAACCCTTGCAAAAAGCGAATGTTATGGGAAAAAACAAAAAAATACTCTCCAAAGGTAAAGCTCGGCAAAGCTAGTGAGAATAATTGTCTCTCGCACAATAAATGAATAATTCAGCCAGGACAGCCTGGAGTCGGTCACTTTGAAACTCCGCGAGCTTTTTCGTAATTAAAATTTCTACCCGGCACTGATACCTAGCAATGAGTTTCATTTAAATAAATATATAGCTGCTAGTTAACTAAATTTGTTCAAGCTTCCTTTCTTTTCGAATTTTAATACCCAAAACATACTTGATGAAACCGTTTTGAGCCCACAATCAATTAGCAGCAACAGAATGGGAATCAGTTAAAATTTAAACGACCCTTTTCAGCGAAAGAGCGAATAAAAAAATAATAAACCGGAAATGTTTTTCTTCAATTGCATGTCTTTTTCTTTAAATTCTATAGGAAAATGTGAAAAGAACTTTCAATATTGCTATCCGCACTTGCAATTATCATTCAAATTGTTGCTGCGTTGCTCTCTTCGGAAACGAAATTACAACTGGGAAAAAGAAGGAACGAGTGAAAAGGTTATTTATATCAAGTGACGACGAGTTTTCATCGGTTTTGTAAAATAATATTTTCAAGTTGATAGACGCAGCCCAACAATTTATTTAGAAACTAATAATTTTATTTATTCGTGCAATCAGTGAAGACTTTTTCGAGCCTTCCCCAAGAATGAAAGGAATCAGGAATATTTCAACTCACAGAAGGCTTGCCCATAGCAGGCTTCATTCATGTTGCCGTATAAACAGTTTACTGCTAGAGTTAATAATTTACACTGCCAGAAATCTAAAATGCTTTCCTTATAAACTTTTGACTACTACTGCTACTGGTAGTGCTAAAGCGTCCGATGGCTAAGTCGAGCTAAGCAATTTTAGGCTCGAACCTAGCGTTCTTTCGATCCGAAACCGGGACGCCCAAACTCTTTGATTGCGAGTGAGACCCGCTTGCACTTTTAATATAAGAGAAACATTTCAAATTTCACTTCTCTATCTCTACACTGGAAATAATGTCCGAGCTGAGTGTGCATTACCTAGATAAAACTCCTTAACTTTTGAATAATTATACAATGGCGGTTTTCTTAACGTGAATTTCAGAGCATTCAGAAAAGTACGATTCGACGGGAAGGAAGGTGTACCTGGCTGCCTGCAAATGCTTGGACATAACACCTGTGTCGTTCTTCTTGAAGAACATCGAAGAAAAGCATCTTGATTTCAAACACCGACTGCTGGGGCCAAAAGGAGGAAGGGCTCTTGCAGCTGCTTTGGAGGTGTGAGTTCTGACCTGAAAAAATGTCCTCACCTTTTCAAAGCAAACGTTTAAGCATTTCCTCTGTTTTGTTTGTTTGTTTGTTTTGTTTATGTGAAATAACCGGTAGCTTAAAGGCGCAGAAGAATTTACCCCCATCATTTGTGCGCGACGAATTAACAAACACCAACTTTATGATTTGGAACAAAGTTGTTTCTTATCCACAATTTCTTCCAAGACTGATTAGATTCTGGGCGGATTTTTCAAGAAGTTGGCTAAATGGACCTCTATTTACCAGTTTGGTTTGGCCTTCTTGTTGTTCGTTAATCTCTGAATCGAGGAAACTGAGCAAACTTTTGTCTTTCTCGCTCTAGTCATTCGTATGTAATTCAGGAATGGCAATAAATGACCATGAATACTTTGACTGGTGAATCATTGTTACTTTTGTCTCATGTAGCTCAACACCACATTAACCAGTTTAAACCTTCATGATAACTACTTAGAGGGAGAGGGTGGGTCGGCGATTGCAGCGATGCTGAAAGAAAACTGTTACATCACAGAACTGGTAAGTAGTCAGGCTGATATAGAAGTTTCATAGCAGTTGTTAAAGTATTCAAATACACTGCAACAGAGATTTCATTGGCCTTTTTCAGCAGAAGGTCAACTGGTTTTGACAGGCGGGCAGCACTTCTTCTTTTTTTTCGTAAGAAAAACTTCCCCAAAATGGTCAAACCAGGTGGGCAAAATCATCCCCACAGCCAGTCAATTTGCCTGG